GTATATATATATGTATGTATATATATATGTATGTATATATATATATACATGTATATACATGTATATATATACATACATATATATGTATATATATGTATATATGTGTATATATATATGTATGTATATGTATATATGTATGTATATGTATATATCTATATACAGATATATATATATATATACATATATGTATATGTATATATATATACATATACACATATGTATATATATATATATATATATAAAAGGTTTTAGACAGATCAAGTACTACGTGGCAGATTGATGGATGCACCACCCACCCGTGTTATTCCAAGACTCCTGACAACCACACAAAGCATCAGGACAAAACCAAACCTCGCCGTGAGATCCGGTTCGCCCCATCTCACACGATTCAAAAGACAACATCGCACTCACATCCACAACACAACAGTCTACACTCCACATCATATCACTTCCTTCAGCCACTACAAGAGAGACTTGCAGAAAGCGAACTTAATGTCACGTCCGCTTCGGCATAAGTCTGTAATATATTGAAAACAAAGATCAACCCTCTCTTACCTGAGTTTATTGTTATTACTTGACAGCAAGCTGCAGTAAAGCCACCATTTAACGGCGGAAGCTCCGTCGCGGCAACTCGCCATCGTCTCCCTTCAGCTTCACAGCTGTGTAAACCGCAGCTCCGGCGACAGCACCGGCAGTCGGCGCCACCAGATATATCCATATCTGTTTGTAGTTGCCTGCTGCGACCGCCGGTCCGAGAGTTCGGACCGGATTCATTGATCCCCCACTGGATGGCCTGAGTCGAACGTGAAGAATGATGAAACCGTGTTACAAGTATAATGACGAGAACAAGCTTATGCATTGGTAATTCTGTAATGTTTGTTGCATGCGCACTAACCCTGCTATAAGAATGTTGAGCATAACCGTGGCCCCGACCGCGATTCCGGCAAGTTCTCCCACCTACGTTTAGATTGCACGAGTAGTAAGGAAGGAGGATGAATCTAAATGGGTAAGGTGGAGAAGATATAAGGGGTAGCCACGGTTTACCGCGCGAGTATCTGTCGCGACGGCGGTCACGACGAAGAGGAGATTGAAAGTGATGACGAACTCGATGAAGAAGGCCTGAGCAGTGCTGACAGAAGGCACAGTGACACCACCGGAAAGGAAAGGGTGAAAGACACCCTTGAGCGCAAAGGAGGCGCAGATGGATGCGGAGACTTGGGCCACCACGTAGGCGGGGACGTGGGACCAAGGGAAGTGGCGTAGAGCCGCGAAGGCGATGGTGAGTGAGGGGTTGAGATGGGCGCCGGAGATGTGGCCGGTGGAGAGGATGACTATCATGACGGCGAGACCGGCGCATGCAGCGTTGCCGATGAGAGCCTCGGCCCCGTTGTACTTCTGATTCACTATGGGAGCTGCAGTGGCGCCGAAGATTAGGATGAAGGTGCCCACGAATTCAGCTCCTATCTGCCATCAATTATCGTCATCAACAAACAAACGGATTAGCTAAAGCATCATAGCTATCAGTAAGAAGAAGAAGCAGAACTCCAAGAGTCGGTGAACGATCCAAATGGTGCCACTATAGTAATGCAGGCTTGGAAGCGGGAAAAAAAAAAAAAAAAGCGTTCCTCCAACTCGATATTGTTGATTACAGATAGCACAATGCAATCGTACTGATGTCTGGTTTGAAGATTTCTGCCCTTTCTCGTGTCACATCCTCTACTCCGTCAAACTGCTATACTACTAATACAAGCAACAAAGAGCGTAATAATTGTCACTCGTTTTATCAATACAATGTTGGTAAGTTCAACTGCATTTTTCTTTTCCTTCAAATGATTTTGCCAATTTTGATTCAGGCTTATATCAAAATAACGCACACACTACAACTAAACATCTTTTACTTCAAAACACCAACGTACAACTGGTAAGATCATTCCCGACATTAACTTGTACGAAAAGTTAATAACTTTAAACAACACACAGCGATGAATCCTTATGAACAAGAAAAAAGAACTATTTTCTACAATTTTCATGAATCATAACAAGAGGTCGTTTAGTAAAGCATCACAATAATAAATAGTAGGTCTTCTTAGTAAATCTTTGAGCGTTAAAATATATAATTAATATATGCTACATCTAAATTTAAAAATTTAGAACGAGCCATACTAAAGAAAAAATGTTCTTCGACTGAGATAAACCTGAAGGTCAAAAACATCAATATATGTTTGCAAACAACATCCAATATTTGCTAAAAATTTAATTATATATTGTTTCTAGTGTATGATAATGAAATTAAAATAACCCGTGATGAAATAACTTGTGTGAGTGATAGGGTCTAAATAGTTCTCTTTCTGTTCTACTTTCTGCCCAAGATGATCGATCCATCTTTTACTGCATGACTCTAATGAATAGAATGGAATAATGAAAGCAATGGCATTGACCATAATTGAGCTCTCTGGATATTACTTAAAACATCATATATTATAATTCAGGCTGCCACAATCTCAACACAATTAGGTATTGACTAATGCCAACAAATCATGAGGGGCCAAGCGTCTGTTATTATGATAAACAAATAAATACAAACCAAACTAAAATAAAAGGATGTAGCCCCCATAGATCGATTGGAACAAAGTGATATGATAAACTCCTCTCTCTCTCTCTCTCTCTCTCTCTCTCTCCTATGTATATATCTATATGTATATATATGTGTATATATGTGTATATATATGTATATATATATACATATATACATATATATGTATATATATGTTTACATATATACATATATATGTATATAT